TTGTGTAACCTTTACACACTCTCCACAGCATTCGCTCAAAGGCCTCCATCTTCACCCTCTGGATGAGTCCGGAAATAAAACTGCACCCAGGAGAGATCAGATAAGGTTATGGATGTGCTTTTTTAACTGCATGACGACGTCGTGTTTGTATAACGAGCGACGCTACGACTCACCCCAACTTAGCCCCAAGTCTCTGCATGCCGGTGCATCCGGTCACAGAGTCTGTCTCCGGCGTGGGGAACTCTTCATACTGAGGACCAAGAGCCTCGTGCTTAGTTAGAAAAAAACAAACAAACACGGTGACGTGAACTGCCCGTGTCCTCACACTGTGCGTGTGTTGAGATGAAACAAGCAGCCACACAGACAGACTCACTCTGGAGCGGCTGTGCATGAACGTCTGTGTGATCTTCAGCATGTGAGTGTATTCTGTGAGCTCCAGGAGGTTCCGCTGAAGCTTCTCCTTGTTTCTCGCCACCTCGCTGAGCTCCATCTCCAACCTTTGAAGCTGCTCCTGGATATGAAGCACCGGCTTAAGTCAGTAAACCAGAATATGATGGCAGTGGTACATCTTTAAAGCCATTCTCATGAGTAAAAAATTGGCTACAGTTTGTCTTTTATTAGAAAAGCATTCAAGCTGATCTTTCAACAAACTCCACAAATAATAATAATAATAGCAACAGACTTCTGCAAACAGATTTTTGCAGAGGGATACATTATGCAGCAGCCATAACAACCTGGGAGTAATGACAATCAATCTAGACCTTAAAAGCACAGATGTGTTGTTCATTTCATGTGTTTGTCCAAGTTTAGAGTCAATAACAAGGCTTTGCAAAAAAAAAAAAAAAGGCAAATAAAAGAGGCACTTTTCGAGCACTTACCATAATCTCGAGGACTTGTCTGGGCGGAGGAGCCAATGGGCTCTCGTCCTCCTCTGGAACAGCTATTTTAGCCTTCTGGATCTCTCTCAGAAGGTAACCTACTCCCAAAAACAACAACAACCGAGAGCAAGTTTTCAAGATAACGACTACACGAGCGCGAAATCTCCCCATCTCCAGGGTAACAATTCGACTGAAACCCAATCATCAAGGCAACCACCGGTTTTTCCCCCAAACAAAACGAATATTTAAAGGGTGCGCGCTCGCAGCCCAGGTGGAGGGGTTCTTACCCAGAATCCTCTCCATCTCCTCGCATCTCTTGATTTCGCTGACGAAGCGCCGCTGGAACGAGCTGACACTTGGGTTGAGCTGAAACCAGAGGAGCAACACAAGTCAGGGAGGCTGCAGCAAATATACGTGGAAACACAATTTACCAGCCTTTGCATATTTAAATTACGTTATAAGACCTTTATTCTACTGTATGCTTAAACATGATAGATAGATAGATAGATAGATAGATAGATAGATAGATAGATAGATAGATAGATAGATAGATAGATAGATAGATAGATAGATA